ACAACTTCCAACTGTTTGTGAAGTAGCTTTTGTGCTCATAGGAGAAGGAGAATTACGCAAATACTAATTAAAAAGACTAAACAAGTTATCACGGACCCTTTTGATCTCTCTAAAATCATAACCATAAATCTTGGTATAACTAAAAGCCACAAAATAAAGCTTGAAACGAAGGTCTAAAATCACAGCAATAGCAAGGATCGTGCTAAATTCTGACCAATATTTAGAGAATTTTGAATACATTTTAGTGGCCATGCTAGACAAGAACTCATCCAAACTCTCATTTTCAGTTAGCAGTTTTAGTTGAACTAAAAATACAGTAGGAAAGTACAAATTTGCTGTAGCATATTTTGTTCTAGAAAAGACTTTGGTAACATTATAAAATTCTCCTAAGAAATTGCAAATCTTCTCCACTTTGCTCCACTCATCTTTAGATGGACAATGTTTATAATTTGAGTCACTTAATGCCATGTGACAAAATGCACGACAGTAATAAATGGCACACTCAAGCATAATAAACGTTAAGTTTCATCTTGTAGAAATATCTTGCCTCAAACCTTTCTTATAATCCAAAGACACATGAGAAATGCATTCCAAAAATTTTTGTTGTCTGCCCGGAGAACCTTTAACAAACTTAACACCTTCAAGAATCTTAATGACAGATTCATCAATTTCTTTTAAACCATCTTGCACAATCAAATTCAAAATATGAGCACAATACCGAATGTGAAAATAATTACCATCACTCAACTGTTAGGATTTATATGCCCTCTCATAGCAAATTCCTATCTGGATTATAGTGACATGTTCCTGACATATCTGAAATATTTATGATTTATATAATTGGTGAATTCAATGTATTATGTTTTGATTCACTATGGAATTGATAGTGTCCATTTGATTACAATAAATATTTATATATATGTATGTGATGGCAATCAATGCATAATATATAAATAGTAATCATAAATGGTTCATAGTCGGTAATTATGGATGGACTCATAATTAATTAAGACTTAAACTGGATCTGTGTTAGGTTGAGATATATTGCGAAAGCCGTCGTATGCAATTGCTCCCTATCACTGTCATGGCATTTGACTCTAAAGCATGAGAAAAGTATAGACGCTTTTATTAATTAATAATTACTTTGATTTGTTCGGCGAATGCTTCGGGATCCTTAGACTGACACTTTGGGTAGTTATGTAATTAATAGTTAGAGGGTTATATTTTCAATATTTGCATCATTACTACTTGTATTGATTTTGTATTGATTATGGTTGATCACAAAGTAAATTCGAAGGCCTTCGTGTATTTTTAGACAAAATGATTTATTATATATTTATTTATCTAAATTATTATTTTTGTCAAACAAATATTTTATTGTGATCGAGACAAAAATAATCAAAGGTACAAAAATAATTATATTAATTAAGTAGTCGGATTGATGGCTTTATTTATCCGATAACTAATTGTGCATAGAGGGGTCAAAGTGCAACATTGACTTAGAGGTTATTTATTATTTAATTGGAGTTCAATTAATTTCTTTTAGTGGAGTAGAAATTAATTTATGAATTAATTGAATTGGGTTCATGGACCGGGCCAATTATTAATTCATTGTAGCCAATAAAATAATAGGCCCAAAGGATTCTCACTCATAACTCAACTTGATATTGGAATCCCATTAGATTTGAGACATGTGAATTAGAGATTGAGAAGGATTTATTATTTCATTTTCTTTATCTTTTTGTTGCCTATATATATATATATGGTCTATGTATATTTTAGGGGGTGATTTTTTAGAAGAAGGAAAAGAAATATATTTTCTCTCTCTAGAAAATTAGGATTAGTGTTCTCATCTAATGGAGGTTCCCACAAGCCTATTTTTCCAAGGTCGTATATGCAGGCTTATGAGTGATTTCTAAAGGCAAAACAATTACCAAGAAGATGGAGATTCAAGGAGAAGGCATCTTGCTAAGGGATCTACAATAAGTGAGAACATTCACTTTAGAGGAAAGATTTAAAGATTTACTTAGATCTTTGATGTAAGTATTCAATCTGTTAATTGAATGATACATCATATTTTATTTTTGCATAAAACTTGTCTCTATATGATGAATCAAGATCTATGAATCAAAATCCCTCAAAAAGTTTTTAAAACTAGCACGTTTCCCAACATCAACAATGCATCATTTAAATTTAATTGACACTTCAACATGTCAATAAATGAAGTATTTGAAGAACCATTGTCCAAAGTGATTGAAAACAGTTTTTTCTCAATCCCCCATTCGGTTAACAATGTGTAAATTTTTTCATTTATGGTAACCCCATTATTTGGTGATGGCATGTAGCAAAAGTTCAAAATTCTTTTCTGTAATTGCCAGTCATCATCAATAAAATGTGTAGTGAGGCACAAGTACCCATCAGTAGTTAAAGAAGTCCATAAATCAGATGTCAAACAAATTCTACCCTGCACTGATCCTAATAAGTGTCGAAGCCTACCCTTTTCAGTTTTATACATTTTCAAGATATCAGCCTTGGCAGTATTCTTACAAATAGGTTGAAAATCCTCACATGAATATCAACATACTGCTCTAATGCCCTCATACTCAACAAATTAAAAAGGTAGCTCATGCATTATAATAGCAGAAGTCAATAATTCATGAAACTTTTCAGGATCAATTTTTGATTAATGCACTTGAGATAAAAAAAGCTGACCTACATCACGCGTGTCCTTTTTGATACAATTATCAATATGCCGCTTCATATTCCCAGTTCCTTACTTGGAACTACACAAATAAACAGTCTCGCATTTGTTGCACTTGCATCTTGGCTTCTTGTCTTTAGCAAGAGGAAGCATCTTAAAATATTTCCAAACAGCAGAGGTGAATTTCCTTTTTCGTTTTACAGCTTTTTTTTGGTTTGAAAGCTTCCTCGTCTCATTGTAGCTCTTCAACTTTATCGCCACTTTCTTCAACATCTTCAAGGTTTATTTGAATATCAGTAACAACATCCATCTACAAGTTTGTACCGAAATAAAAGAAAAGTAAAAAGATAATATAATAGAATACAAAAATAAAATACAAAGTTAATTTAATATATATTTCTTATTTTAAGAAAAGATTAGTTATGTTCTAATTTCTAATACACCCAAATTTTTTTTTTTTTTTGTAATAATCTCTAGACTTTAATACAAAATAATTATAACATAGAAATTTTATTTTGTTTTAACAAAAAGTATTTCTGAAAAAAATTTCGCAGAAAATAAAATATAAGTGTGTGTAGATGTCTAAGAAATTATTTAACTCAAAAATGTTTGTGGAATGAAGAAACTTTATACTTCAGTAAAGAATATACAATATTTCTAAACGATTTAATCCAAGCATAAAAGAAATTTAGAAAGAACAATAAATACACTGACATACATAAATGTGTGTGCTTACATAGAAAATTAGAAATACACACAAACATATATATGTGACTTATAGATGGTGTGGTCCAACTTCGTCTTTCTAGGACGAAAGCTAAAGATGATCAAAGAAATTTAGAGATCAGATGTACAAATTGCTTCAACATCATATAAGAGACAAGAAATGAAATAGGAACTGAAATCAAATGATCTGTACCTTTGTTAGTTGTGACTTTGTGTTAGAACTCGACAGAAGGAATAAATCACATGAGGAATCGAAGACGATCAAAGCTAGGGTTCGTAATCGCCTTTTGCTCTCTGTCAGCAGAAATAAGAAAATGGAGAATAGTGAATATAAGAGATAAGAAATGAAATAGGAACTGAAATCGAATGATCTGTACCTTTGTTAGTTGTGACTTTGTGTTAGAACTCGATAGAAGGAAGAAATTACATGAGGAATCGAAGACGATCAAAGGCTCAAAGCTAGGGTTCGTAATCGCCTTTTGCTCTCTGTCGGCAAAAACAAGAAAATAGAAATAGTGAATATGCCGTATGCGATAGGGTTAGTGGTTTTATTCTTATATTTTTAATTTTACACTTATATGGACAAATTACTAATTTAGCCTCTCTTATTTCACAATTTACTATTTTATATTTTAAATGGGTTGTAAATGGGTTGGGTTGTAATCATGTTAACACGACCCGTTTAACCCGTTTAATTAAACGGGTTACACGGGTTGAACCCGAACCAACCTAACTTTTTTGTGTTCTAATCGCATCGATAATTATCCGACCCGAACCCATTTATATTAAACCCAAACCCGCCTAAACTGTGTCGTGTTTATATCATGTTATCGTGTCGTGTCTAATTTTGCCAATCCTCCATAAATGAAAAACTAAAAAGATGAAAAACATTATGAAAAATTGAAAAATAAGGAACGGAAAAGATATGTATTTTATGGAAACAAATAAGAGTACTAATGATACTTATTTAAGTTGAATTTTTAGAATAATCACGTCATATTTTATTTTTGTCGGTTTTAAATCGGGGTATTAAAGTCGTCAATAATATTATTTTTTATTATAAAAATACATTTTAATTTTCTTCTTCATCCTCTCTCTAAAACTATCACCTTAAGTCACATAAAGCGGGGGCACGAAAGTGGCAAAATTAAATCACAAATAGTGAGAATGGGAGCGAGAGCGCGCAGAGCGTAAGAACGAGAATGCGCTCAGAGCGTAAGAACGAGAATGTGCTCAGAGTATGAGAGCGACACCAGATAAAAAGGATTATATGACGTAGCTCTCACTCATATCTAAAACATAATTCTTGTAATTTTAAAAGGTATTTTAGTAATTTTTTAAAATAATAATAATAATCATATTTGAAGTAAGAAATAAAAAAAATTATTTAAATAAATTTACTATCATACTATTTTTTATAAATTTTATAAAGATGAGGATAAATTTGATATTAATATTCTTATTTGAAAAAAAAAAAAAAAAAAAAAAAATGTAATAACCAACTCACTATTCTATCATTTTATATTTATATTAGCAACCCATTAAATTACTACCATTCTAAGAAGTTAACCAGAGGAATGAGAATCAATTCCCACTTGTCTATGAGATTGGGATTTAATAAGGATTGAAATTTTATCGACTTGGAATGAATATCCTTCATTATCCTAAATTCCAGTCCATTCAATACATGCCGGCGAAGAACGGGAGAAGGGCGAGTGGCGAATTTTGTGGAATAAAAATAAAATTCCAAGAATGAGATCGGTTTTCTTGATGCCTCTATTGGTAGCCCTAGGAGTAGTAGTTGTTGCAGAGATCGGTTTTCTGGGTCGGCTAAGAACGTCGCTTTCTTTGTTCAACTCCTGGGCCGAGTCGTTCTATCACTCTATTCCAGAGATTTTCAGAAAGGAAACTATCTCAGTTAAGGGTTTTGAGGAGGTAAGTTCCGGTTTTGGTAATGATTCGAACTGTTTCTTTAAAATGTACCTATGCATAATATGCCCTAATAAATACACACATAACGAAATTTACTAATTTTAACCAAAACACCTAATTGTTGCATCTAATCGGGCTATACCAAGAATTCTTCTTCTTTAATCCTTTTCTTTTGTAAGGGTTATTTGTAATTATTTTTATTTTTATTATTATTATTTTTTCTGGCCAAAGTAGAAATTATTATAGTTATGAACAATAATGTACATGGCTATAATAAGCAAAGGTATACCTTTGGATTGCTACTTTAAAACAAAAGAACTAAAGAAAGGTCAAAACCTCCAATAAAAAGAGAGAGACAAACAGAGTAACAACTTAACCACCAAACAGATCAAGTGCATCTTGAACGCTCAAAGAGGACAAATCCAGCACCTCCCACCAAATAAGCTGAATAATCGGTGAAAAAGACATTGTAACTCTTTAAATTAGGGTATATCTCTCAATACTGTAGAAAATATTCTTCTAGCAACTCTATCTTTCAAACCATTATGGTGAAAAGTAGTACTAAACCATTGAGATAACTGCACTAAGCAAACACAATTAGGTAGCTGCAAATCCAGGAGACATGAGAACAGTTCCAGTAATTTGCATGTCTTGTATACTTTCTTTTAAACAATGCAATCCAGAGGCAGTCTTTTGATTGCAGAAAGTACCAAACCAATCTACATAAAGAGGCATTATTGATATCAGATAACTTTCTCACCCCCATACCACCTTCAACCTTAGGTGAACAAACTGTCTTCTAGTTAAGGGCATGCATTTTCTCATTAGAATCACTTGAACCCCAAAGGAAATCCCTCATCTTCTTCTCCAAAACCTTGATGACAGAAGTTGGCCACTTAGAAACAGAATTGTTTACCCAGTCCTGCATGCAATTTCTCATGTGAGGTGAGAGTGCGAATTGAAAGTTCTAATTGTGGCGACAACAAAAAATCATGTATCCATCTATTGTAGCAAAAAGAATGAAAAGAACACCTACGATCCTCAAAACACATCTTCTGTAGACATGGAAATGATGGGCCCTGGGAGGCTTGCATGCAAAACATTTGTCACATTGCCTCGGACGAAAACATGCATCCGGAATAGAAATTTATGTTATAATGCTAATGCTACTATTTGATAGATATGTAGCTCTATTTAAGAATTATCTACTCCACAAACTGCTATTCTTCAATATGTATTATCAGCAATCCAGTAAAAAATATGGTGCAGGTGGGTTGAAACAGAGAGAGGGAAAACGGAATTGTTACTTTTACACATGAAGTATGGAGGGGAGGGTCGGTCCATACATGTAGGCTGGTATGATTCATAATTGAATACTATCATAAAATCTAGGATTAATTGGTTGGATATATATGTGGGTGCTTACCATTTAACTTGTGGTTGTTTAAGAGCTTAAATGTTCAGTGTAGGATATGAAATAACTTGATTTGGACTCTCTCTCTGCACCTTCAATTATTGACCATTTGGGGATGTTTGGACGTGTGGTCTGTCCTCCATTTTATAATCATCTCTAAGAAGTAACAAAAAGAAGATGTTGAAGTTACCTGACATTGTATGACCAATAACCATGTACCCACTGCATAGCAGAATTTTCTCTTCTTTTAAGAATTATTCTGTAACTATAACTGCTTAAACAGAGAACATTCTCATGTCTTTACTAGTTTTCTCTCTCTAATAAATATGATTTATGCACACAAATATATATAGACTCAGACGATCTATAAACAATTGTTTTTTTTCTTTTTTATAACTGAGGATGTCCCAACTCCCTTCGGATGCAAGACTAATCCCTTCCGATACTTAATACCCTCTTTAACTGTTTCTGACACTCCTATAAATTGAACTCAAACCTTTGGAGGTTCATGTCCTATTTGTCAATTGTGGTTAATTAACTAATTTTGAAAGTATCCATGAAGTAGCCTTCTTACCTTGTCAGAATTTATATAGGTAACAGTCGGGTGTGGTGGTTCAATTGAGTTAATTTATCTAAATGTCTTCATAAAATCACCAATTGAAATTACATTACTTTTAAATTTGGCTGCATATTACATCAACTTGATATGCCGCATATTTGCAGTGCTTTTACTGGCCTCTATACCAAGGATATGTGCTTTATTACCCTACTTTGTGGCTTATTTTGTTATAATTTTCACTTCTTTTAATGTAATCACCAATGAAAATCACATTACTTTTTTATTTGGCTGTATATTACATTAGCTTAAAATGCTGCACATTTTCAGTGCTTTTGCTGGTCTGTATACCAAGGATCTGTGCTTTATTACCCTACTTTGTGGCTTATTTTGTTGTACTTTCACTTCTTTTAATGTAATCTTTGCATGATATGAAATATATTGAATTTTGCTCATTAGTTGTATTGGTAATGTATTTATTTGACTCTTTGAATTGTGTATTCTATATTGTTACACTGCCATATAAACTTTTTTTTTTTTTTTTTTTTCTGCGATGATTTCCATGCTTTATGTGAATTTATTTCGGCACTCTCAGTTTTGGTCATCTGTTTATGACCGTTGGGTTGTATATAGCTTTTTTCAAATTCTAGCCGTTTATGACAGTTGGAGTATGCAAGGGGCTGTTTGGAAATTCATTTCGGTACTCTCAGTTTTGGTCAGCCTGCATGTTTAGACCAATTTGGAAAGGGCATAACTCGTTTTAAATTCAAATGAGGCCAAATTTATGTCCAAATTGAAGATCTTGAAGTCTACTTTCCAATGGATTGGTGTCACTGGTCTCACATAAAAATTCAACCACACTGAAAGTTATGGCTGTTAAAGTGTGCCCAAGTCCTGAACATTTATGGTCTGTTTTAGGCTTTTAGCACATTTGTGAGATAGCCATCGGACCTTGTAGTATGGTTTAATCAAGTCTAAGGCCTTTTGTTAAAAGTCTAGGGACCATTAAAAGGATATGCATGAGGTGCATTGGGTCCTAGAATCAACTAAGAAAAGGGTTGAGCATTCAAATGAAGTTACTTAAAAAATAACTTTACATGAAATGCTAATCACTCACCCAATACTATCCTGCCCAGTTCTTGATCTTCAATCTTGAGCATTTGGGTTGATCATCTTAGGCTTGGATCCACTTCAACTTTGCCATTGATCTTTTGATGTTTGAGCTTTGAGTTCCATGGTGATGTGGCTTATTGAATTTAAATCTTCATGTAAGTCCTTGAAGTCCAAGGCCTTTGCTCTTGCACAGAAGCATTCACCGCGAAGCAATTGACCGATGCTTTTCCGGTGTTTTCCGCTCATTCTATTTGACTTGGGAGCAGAAGGGAACCGAACTTGATTCAACTAATGGACACGAAAATGATCTTTTAACTTAAAGTTCCTTGAGCTTGACCCATGTTTGATCTTGAACATTTAATTCCACGGATCTACTTTGTCCTTGAGTTTCATAGAATATTATGAAATTCACCACACTCAAGTAGACTATTAAATTCCCACATTAATAGGTTATTATCATCAAAATCATCAAGTTTCACTTGGCTTGAAACTTTAGGGCCAACAATCTCCCCCTTTTTCATGATGACAATTTATTGATGTGTTTCACAACATAAGGGATAAAGATATTGCATAAGCAAAGCTCCCTTTTCAATATGCATATATCAATCACATAAGTTAGAGAATTCTCGCCTTGTTAAGTTTAGAATATGAAATTGCTCAAATCAAAATCTAAAATGTTTGACTTGTCTCTTAACTTTTCTTTTCTTTTCTTTTTTGACGCCGGAGTCTTCTACTCCGGCTTCTATCGTTCTCTTTTTTCTTTTCTGGTGTTGGATCTTTGGTTTCGACAGATCATGCTACGTTCGTATCTCAAAGTAGTGACCCTACCATGTCTCAATCTCCACGGGAAGATCAAAAGCTATTCAATTGATAGAGATGTGGTCCTTAGGGTTGATCATCTGAGCATTGCAGAACGTGAATCTGTCTTGCTCGTGATGTGGGGTGCACTAAAAGGATCGAGGAGTTGGTGACGAAATCTTGGCAGATCTCGTGTGGAGTAAAAGTTTCAACCCTACCTGACGGCCTTTTCCTGTTCTGTCTACTATCGGAGGCCGAAGCTTGCAGGGTTATGAATTTGGGGAGGAAGAGATGGGCTGAAGCTTCCTTATACATCGACAAGTGGGATTTTGCAGTGGGTTGCTCAGCCGTGGTTGATCATGATAGGTTACGAAGGGTGGTGTTGTTCGGTTTGCCCCTCCATCTCTGGTGCCACAAACTGTTGGAAGCCATTGGAGACCTCTGTGGTGGGTTTAGAGGTGTGGAAGCAGATGATCAAGCGAGAGGCGAACGAGTTCTCCTTCTTGTTTCCGCCGGAGCTTTGGTGCCGAAGTTTGTTTTTGTTGAAGACCAACGAGTAGCCTTCAAGATCAGTTTGATTGAGGAAACCTCACCTTGCATCCTTCTAAAATCCTATTATGGGTTTGGTGAGGCTTCTCCCCTTCCATCTGATGGAGAATTCAACGGTGGGCGTCATCAGCATTTGCAGACTCAATTGAGTTCTCAAGGAAAAAGAAGAGTGTTCGCCAACGCACTGGCAGCGAGTGGGGAAGACAAATATCTGAGGCGTACGCATAACGCCCGTCATCAACGCTTTTCAAATCCTCGTTTTGATCGCCTTGATGGTAATTAACCACGTGGCTTCACGAGGGCCTTTCATGCAGCGGACTCAGATGGGCATAACGCGTAAGTATGGGCCTCTTTTTTCTGGGCTGAACGATGGGCCGTTAGGTTCTCATGGACCACAAGCTACACTTAAAAGGAATATTATGTGGAAGCCCAACAATAAGCTATCCATTTCTTTCCTCAATGATAAGCCCAGCCCACAGTTGCCCAAGTCCAACCGAAACAATGCTAAGTTACGCATTGGGCCATTTGAAGACTTAAAAAGAATGGTTCATTGGGGGCCCAAAAATCAGAAGT